CAGAACCAGGTCACTACAGACCCATTTCCCTATTAAACGTAGACATCAAAATCTTCACCAAAATCCTTGCCAACAGACTGCTCCCCTACATTCCATCGACAATCCACCCCGACCAGGTCGGATTTGTCCCCACAAGACAAGCGAGCGACAACACCAGACGGACTTTAGACCTCATATGGGTAGCCAATCACCGTCACATCCCCACCCTCCTACTATCCCTTGACACCGAGAAGGCATTTGATAGACTACTATGGCCCTTCCTCTTCGCCACCTTAGAGAAACTCCAATTCCCAACACCATTCATGACAGCCCTCAAAACGATCTACTCAGTCCCAAAAGCAAAATTACTCATCCCAAATGCGCAACCCCCCACTTCCCTATACATAACGGAACGAGGCAGGGCTGCCCACTGTCACCGATCCTTTTTGCCCTATCATTGGAACCACTTTTACACCTCATACGCACCACCGCTACCATCACGGGCATTACAGTACGCTCCCAAGCTTACAAGGTGGCGGCGTACGCCGATGACCTGCTCCTAACGCTAACTGAACCCCTCACCGCCCTCCCACCACTCCTGAGACTGGTGAAAGAATACTCAGCAGCCTCAGGATATAAACTAAACCTGGACAAGACAGAGGCACTTAGCATAAATATCGACCAAAACACGATGGAGACACTACTGGAAACATACAGGTTTCGCTACAACACATCCCACATCCCATACCTAGGTATACAGCTACCAGCAGCACTACACCGCACGTACGCCCTGAACTATACTCCAATGATACAGAAAGTAACGGACGATCTCAAAAGATGGCAAAACCTATCACTTTCATGGTTAGGCCGCATTGCATCAGTAAAGATGAACCTCCTACCCCGCTTCCTTTACCTATTCCAAACCCTCCCCATCCCACTCCCCACAACAGACGCAAAATATGTCCAAAAACTAATAGACAACTTTATCTGGGCAAATAAAAGACCCAGAATAAAAAGGAGCACCATGCACATCCCCAATAGGACGGGAGGACTGGGACTACCCCATCTCCAAAACTACTATTACGCCGCACAACTCACACAGATCCAACACTGGCACACCCCGCAGGGGATCAAACGATGGGCGGACCTGGAACATGACCTATTTGGACGCGACCACCCATCCCTCTACATATGGGTACCAAAGAAATCACGCCCCCTACCACCACCACTGCCCCCAGCAATCACGAACTCAATAGACTTGTGGGACAAAACGTCCCGGAAATTCCCCATCATAAACAACCCGACACCATTGACGCCAATACTACGCAATAGAGCATTCCCCCCAGGGTTAACACCCAAAGACTTTGCACACTACGAGCAAAACGACCTGTCTAGACTGCACCACTTCTACACGGGAACGCAAATTACCCCATACAACGACCTTCCCAACACGCAGGCAACATATACCACTCACGATTTCTTTCGCTACATACAACTACGAAGCTTCTTAGAGCAACCCGACAATGCCAAAGCAGCCACCACCACGCTCACATGGTTTGAGAGGTCATGCCTACATAACCCACTCCACAAAGGTCAAATCACGGAAAACTACACACTTCTTATCACCAACCAACCCAAGGGGGCCTCAGCATATGTGGCGGCTTGGGAGAGGGACTTAGGGCCACCGGACGACCCCACGGACTGGCAAGATATCTGGGAGGCAACGGCCTCAATATCCATATGCGTTAACCATAAGGAGCAAGCGTATAAAACACTGCTCCGATGGTACCTAAACCCGGTACGTTTGTACCATATGGGCAAAGCAGACGCGGACCTATGCTGGAAAAACTGCGGGCAGAGAGGCACATACATACACACATGGTGGCATTGCCCTAAACTGGTCCCATTGTGGGCGGAAGTAGCTACCCTAGTCTCAACACTCCTCCAGACCACCATACCATTAGACCCCTGGACCTGGCTCCTCTCCAGACCACGAGAGGACCTGACCAGAGCCCAAAACAAAATGACAAACCGGATAGCCTTAGCGACTAGACGGGCAATAGCCGAAGTATGGGGATCGCCAAACACCCCCACACTGCAAACGATCATACGCAAAACCAAGGAAGCAATACACATGGACAGGCTATCAGCCATAATTCACGAGACCTCTAAACACTTCCACAGAATCTGGGACCCCTGGTTATCCGATCCCCACCTACAATAAGGGCACACGGACAGCCTCCACCTCACCCACCAGGCCCGCTACTCCAACATAGCGATCAAAATACCAACGCACGGAAACTCACAGTACAAATATTACCCCAACCCGAACCATTGGACGTCTACTGGGCTCCCGAAATAGTGTCCCGCCATGGTACTCTCACCCTTGTACATAGGTTCTCCACCCTCCCCCCCAACTGACTACCCAGACGCAGGGGCGCCCATTAGTACGCAACGAGGACGATAAAAATAGTCAATAGGGGGCATCCCACCCTACCACAAAACTGTTAACGAGACGAGCCGCAAATCTCATACGGCCACCAATACAGACTGGTCCAAACGAATTGGGCAAAGGGAATAAGTCCAAAATAGAAATCCCTGAACCCCGCACTATTGCACGATAAACGCCTAACCAACGGACCGCACCAAGACACAACTACTTGTTCGCAACACCCTAAGGCGCAAAGACAAGTAAAATATTGTGCTCCCGTATCATTGTGGCTGTTTCACCCCCTCCCTCTTTCATTTCTGTACCCTAATGTTTTCTTTTTCCACACCGGAAAACAATAAATAAAGAATGTTTAAATCAAGCCAATCCGGCAGCATGGGCCGCAACACATTACCCTAACACCGATCCTGACTGGAATGTAAATGGCGCAGATATGGCTCAACTTAAAGCCTATAGAGATGCTATAATTGCTGGCATGAAAGTCGGAGGGAAGAAAGCTATTAACATGTCGAAGACAGTTGAGGTGATTCAGAAAAGTGATGAAGCGCCCAGTGTCTTTTATGACCGATTATTGGAGGCATACCGCTTGTATACCCCCTTTAATCCGGAAGACGCTGATAATTCCCGAATGGTAAACTCCGCCTTTGTCAGCCAAGCTTACGGAGATATTAAGCGCAAGCTACAGAAATTAGAAGGGTTTGCAGGTATGTCTATCACTCAACTAATGGAGGTAGCGAACAAAGTATATATGAATAGGGAAACAGAAAGTAAGAAAGAGGAAGAGCGCAAGATGCGTAGAAAGGCAGATATGCTAGCGGTAGCGATCGCAGGCGTAGATAGACGGGGCCCAGATAGAGGCGATGGTAGATGGAATAGGGAGCCTTTGAGTAGGAATCAGTGCGCGTACTGTAAGGAAGAAGGGCATTGGAGGAACGAGTGTCCGCAAAGAGAGCAGTATGAGAGAGACTTACCCAGGGCAGGTTACGGAAACTTTAGAGGCAGAGCGAGAGGTAGAGGAGGCCCCGGAGGGAGTAATGGTAATAGAGGGAGTAATGGTAATAGAGGGAGTAATGGGAACAGAGGAAGTGTAAGGGAAGATAGGTACTATCCAGCAGCGCAAAGGTCCCGCGATAGAGAAGGTAGGGACTTTGTGGGATTGGCTGACACGGTCATGGAGGACTATTGATACCGACCGGGCTCCATCCCCCTTGGTCGAGCGGAGCCTATGGTCGATGTATCAATAGGGGGAAAAAGGAGTGCGTTTATGATCGACACTGGTGCTGAACATTCGGTGGTGACTAATCAAGTTGCTCCTCCATCTGGAAGAACTATTACTGTAATAGGAGCAACTGGAAGAAGTGCTGAAAAACCGGTTCTTAAAAGTCGACTCTGTACATTGGGAGGCCACGTAGTAAAACATCAATTCCTTTATATGCCTGAGTGTCCAGTCCAATTGCTGGGGCGTGATATGCTATCCAAATTACAAGCGCAGATTACGTTCCTACCAAATGGAACAACATCCTTAAAGTTTAATGGACCCTCAGGTATTATGACATTGTCCATACCAAAGGAAGAAGAGTGGCGACTTTATACAGTGTTGACTAGCCAAAACCCGAGGAGTGATGAATCCTTATTTAACATACCAGGAGTTTGGGCAGAGAACAACCCACCAGGACTGGCCCGCAATATTCCACCTATTAAAATTGAACTAAAACTTGGGGTTTATCCAGTAAGCCTGAGACAATATCATATTCCGCAGAAGGCTAAGAAGAACATCCAATCTTATCTGGATAAGTTCATACGGTATGGTATCCTAAAATTCTGTACTTCCCCTGGAACACCCCATTGCTGCCTGTTCAAAAGCCCGGTACAGATGAGTATCGACCTGTGCAGGACTTGAGAGCAGTCAATGATGCGGTTGTTAGTATACATCCAGTCGTGCCCAATCCATATAACCTGCTTGCTTTAATTCCGGGCGGGGCTACTTACTTTACAGTCTTAGATCTCAAAGATGCCTTCTTTTGCCTCCGAATTGCCGCAGAAAGCCAATGTATCTTCGCTTTCCAATGGGAAAATGCTGTAACGGGCTCGAAACGCCAAATGACCTGGACAAGATTGCCCCAGGGGTTTAAAAATTCACCTACCCTATTTGGTTCAGCTCTAAGTCAAGATCTACTAGATTTCGAGTCTATCCCAGGAGAGTGTGTATTATTACAATATGTAGATGACTTGTTGATAGCAGCAGTTACAAAGGAAGTATGTCAGCAAGCAACGCACGATCTACTACACATTCTCTGGAAGGCAGGATACAAGGTGTCAAGAAGGAAGGCTCAGTTGTGTTTGCCAACTGTCAAATATCTGGGATTCCATATCTCTGAAGGTCAAAGAATTATGGGGCCAGAGAGAAAAGAAGCTGTGTGCCAAATACCGATACCCAGGAATAGAAGACAAGTGCGAGAATTCTTGGGGGCAGCAGGCTTCTGTAGGATATGGATTCCCAGCTACGCGATACTGGCAAAACCTCTGTATGCAGCTATCAAAGGTACAGAGCACGACCCCTTCTTATGGACTCAAGAACAGCAAACGGCATTCGAAGATGTGAAGAGGGCTTTGATGAGTGCCCCAGCATTAGGTCTACCTGACCACACACGGCCATTCTACCTGTATGTACATGAGCAAAGAAGAATGGCTGTGGGAGTATTGACACAGTACTTGGGATCATGGCAAAGACCTGTTGCCTACATGTCTAAGCAACTGGATGCAGTGGCCAGCGGACTTCCACCTTGTCTAAGAGCTGTAGCTGCAGCCGCCCTGCTAGTAGCTGAAGCCGATAAACTCACTCTGGGTCAAGAACTTTATGTACGAGTTCCACATGCAGTACAGACGTTGTTGGATTACAAAGGAAATCATTGGTTTAGTAACAGCCGTATGACCAAGTATCAAGCAATGTTGTGTGAAAACCCAAGAGTGCATTTAGAGACTGTAAATACCTTAAATCCAGCTACCCTTTTGCCACAACCTACTGAAAGTCAACATGATTGTTTGGAAGTAATGGATGAAGTATTTTCAAGTAGACCAGATCTTCGTGATTTTCCCATCCAGAACCCTGATGTTCAATATTACACCGACGGCAGTAGTTATGTAAAAGAAGGGATCCGCTATGCAGGATATGCAGTAACAACGATAGACAAGGTGATAGAAGCTCGGCCACTGGCAAAAGGAACATCAGCACAAAAGGCAGAATTGATAGCACTGACACGAGCGTTACAATTGGCTGAAGGTTTAAGAGTGAACATCTACACGGACTCCAAGTATGCGTTTTTAACCACTCATGCCCACGGAGCTTTGTATAAAGAAAGAGGACTATTGAATTCAGAAGGCAAAGAAATCAAATACGCAGCTGAGATCCTACAACTATTGGAAGCAGTGTGGGAGCCGAAAGAAGTCGGTATTATACATTGTCGGGCGCATCTGAGAGGAGATGGTGATGTAACCAAAGGGAATCGGATGGCAGATAGTGCAGCTAAGCGTGCTGCTGAATCAGGAAGACAGGAATATGTGGGGCATATAGCTGCTCTTATACCAACTCCACTGTCTCAATGGACTCCAATTTATACAGCTCAAGAAGAGGAGTGGTTAAGGACTGAACCTGGAAAGTATTTGGAGAACAAATGGTATCAGTTAGAAGATGGAAGAATAGTTATTCCAGCATCACTAGCGGTAGAAATTGTCCAAAACTATCATAACGGGACACATTCTGGGAGAGACAGTACAGAAGAATCTCTCAGAAAACATTTCTACATACCAAGATTGTCCAACTTGACTCAGGCCATTGTACGTAGATGTGTAACGTGTGCTAAAAATAATGCAAGACAAGGACCAGTAAAGCCACCAGGAGTCCAGTTTATGGGGGGACTTCCCATGTCCGATTTACAAATTGACTATACAGTGATGCCTAAATCGGGTGGACATCGCTACCTGCTGGTAGTGGTGTGCACCTATTCAGGCTGGGTAGAAGCATGTCCTACTCGTACAGAGAAAGCAGGAGAAGTCGTGAGATTCCTGCTACGAGAAATAATACCCCGATATGGACTACCCTGCTCTATAGGATCGGACAATGGTCCAGCTTTTGTTCATCAGTGCCTACAACAATTGACTCATATGCTTGGTATAAAGTGGAGGCTTCATACGGCATATAGACCCCAGAGTTCTGGTAAGGTAGAGAGAATGAATAGAACTATTAAGAATCAGTTGGCTAAAATGTGTCAGGAAACCCAACTTAAGTGGAACGTTCTCTTGCCCATAGCTCTATTGCGAATCCGTAGTACACCTACCAGAAGGATGGGCCTCTCTCCTTTTGAAATCATGTACGGGCGACCACCTCCCGTGCTTGGTAACTTAAGGGGGGATTTGAGTCAGTTGGGAGAAGGAATTACCCGGCAGCAGGTTGTAGAGTTGGGTAAGACTATGGAGGAGGTACAGAAATGGGTACAAGATAGATTACCTGTGAATATTTATCCCCCAATTCATAGTTACCACCCAGGCGACCAAGTGTGGATTAAAGAGTGGAATAATGTGCCGTTAGGGCCCAAGTGGAGAGGTCCTTATGTTGTTCTTCTGTCTACCCCTACAGCGATAAAAGTAGCCGAAGTGGCTCCGTGGATACATCACTCCAGGGTTAAACCAGCAGCAGCCGATTCCTGGCAAGTTACAGCAAATCCAGAGAATCCCTGCAAGATCCGGTTAAAACGCACGACTCAGTCGGAGTGACGAGGAACCTTGTAGATTACAAATTTTATTGTTTCAGAGACTTGGTAAGTGAGTGAGAAGGCCATAATAAAGCCTGTCCACTCACCAACGAGTGTATAAGTCAGGGAAAGTCTTGAGGGGACCCCTGTGAAGACGAGCAGAACTCCATTCCCTGCAGTCCTTACATCCTGGAAGCTGAGGTGCCTTCACACGGACGAAGACTGAGGATGACGACGAAAGATGTATTTTTAATAATGTTTATTTATGTGTATTTTTATATTCAGGAAGGTAGAGGTACCAACACTCCTAGCTGTGAGGTATGCATTAAGACTACAAGAACAGGTAACCATATATCCCAGACCCTAATTTGGCATTCGCAATATGAGTGTAAAGGAGATGTATCAAGATGTAGATACTTAAATATAGAATATAGTGTGTGTCATTTAGGAGTAGGAGAACCTAAGTGCTTCAGTCCTGAGTATCAACCCCGTACAATTTGGTTGACTCTCAGAAATGGAGATTCTCAGGGGACCCTAATTAATAAGACGGTATTAAAATCCGTATATTCTTCAGGTGCTCTGCTATTTGATGCGTGTAAAGCAATATCAAGTGGTAGAAAGCCGTGGAATGTATGTGGGGATCTTAGATGGGAGAGGACGTATGGGTCTAACGATAAATATATTTGTCCCAGTAGTAAAAATAAATATGTAAGTCCAAGATGCCCAAATAGAGATTATAACTTCTGCCCATATTGGTCTTGTGTGGGGTGGGCGACTTGGGGACAGACAGCAGACAAGGACATGATTGTGACTAAGTTGCCTACTAATCCATATTGTAAGTCTATGGAATGCAATCCAATCCATATACTTATAAATAACCCTGACAAGTTCTTAGATAAATATGGTAATTTATTTGGGTTTCAAATATATGGGACGGGTTTAGACCCTGGGACAATATTGTTTATAGGGATAGAGTCTGATACGGTAACCTCCCAAACTCATCAAGTATACCATTCCTTTTATGAAGAGATGAGCATAGATAATAAGATCCCCCATAATGCTAAAAACTTGTTCATTGATTTAGCCGAGAGTATTGCCGGTAGTCTTAATGTTACCAACTGCTATGTGTGTGGAGGTACTAACATGGGAGACCAATGGCCTTGGGAAGCAAAGGAGGTAATGTCCGGTTCTGAGGCAGTTGACCAATTAATATCTACACAAGCCGACTATCATATGAGTGTTAGAGGTAAATCTGAGTGGAGATTGAAGACCTCCATCATAGGTTATGTTTGCATAGCGAGGAAAGGAATGATGTATAATACTTCTGTAGGAGAATTAACTTGTCTAGGGCAAAAAGCTTATGATGATGATACAAAGAATACAACTTGGTGGTCGGCTTCAAATGTCTCAGAACCATCTAACCCGTTTGCAGGATATGCCAATTTAAAGGACGTATGGTTTGATCTATCCATCACATCTAACTGGAGAGCCCCAGCGAATTTGTACTGGATCTGTGGTAAGAAGGCCTATTCGGAGTTACCACAGGACTG